AAAAAAAAAAAAAAAAAAGGCTAAAATTGAGTACTTGGAATTGATTTACTGACTTCATTTTTCAGAGCGGGTAGTTAGAATATTCAAAGTAAAACACCCCAAGTTCATGAATGTACCACATATCATACCAAGTACTTAGAATATTGAGGAACACCTTCTTGAATTAACCAACTATGCACTGGATCTTGAGAGATTTACACAATATATTGCTCGAGTTGCTTCTCGTATTTATATATTATGCAGAAACTAACACATTCAGTGCCGACTTCTAGGCCGGAATACAATCATGCCCTCGTGAAAATCAGGGGCCCGTTGATACACAACCGATGCCGCCCGAATCAAAATCGCAGCAGTCAAAGCCGAAATTACGTACGACTTATTATTACACGCTCTGTAATCAAAGGAGTGGATCACGTATCCATAGCCCATCCAGTCCACATTCTCTTCTCGTCGATTTTCATTCTAAACAACAAAAGTGCGTATAAAATAGTACACGCTGATGAGCAGCTAACAAATACCTCGAGTGATTTAAGCAGAATAGTACTAATTAGCTCTTGGAGTAAAGAACGAAACGAACCTTGAGAAACATTTCTAATGGAGCATCAAAAACTGATTCTACCTCGGTTGGATTTGGATTTGGTTTGTAACGAGTCTTGTCCCACATTATTGCGATAACTGGGAATATCGTTATACGGCGCTGGATAGAGAAAAACAGAATGGTTCTAAATCAGCGCAAACTGCGAACGTCGAAAATATTACGCCTTAATATTTTCGTCAATTGTGATCACTTTACATTCACATTCTTGTTCTACTTCTTTTTTCTTCTCAGCGAGAAACGCCGAAAAAGCCTTATGAAAAGGAGAGTATATAAGAATGAAATGAAGAGGAACGAAACAGATAAGAAACCGAAAGTCCATTACCGTAGAGAGAAAAGGTTCTAGAATAGTAACAACTTCAACGGCGGAAGGTTCCAAACCAATCTCTTCATTAGCCTCTCTCAAAGCCGTCTCGCTATCATCGTGATCACCCTCTTCCCACTTTCCTCCAGGCAATACAACTTCACCTAAACGAAAAAAACGTTTAACACGACTGTCTTTTTCTTATTCCATCAAATGTAAACAAAACAAATGTATCATGTTACCTGAATGAGAGGACATATTTAAAGATCTTCGGGTGAGAATTACGCGAAGCACGCCTCTTTCCCCTTCGAACAAGCAAATCAAGACTGAAGCTCTGTCGGGACCCACTTTAAAGAGGGAATCTCTGATTTTCGAATCTTCAACAATAATGCCATTGGGGACGGTGAGATTCGGACTGGCTTTGTACGAGCGGAGCCTTTGTGCCACTTTCACTAGGTTTTCTGATCTCAATGAACTAATGTTGGAATACATGCTGTTTGGCCTTTAAGGTTCAAAATCAAACTTTAAGAACCTTAAACCTTTTAGTTCTTCTTCACATGGAGTTTCAATAATCTGTCTTTGGCTAGATGACTATTGGTTAGGCATATTATCTGCCATTCAATAATGCCTAGGCCAAAAAGCCTAACACAAGGAGTTCATTAGGCATCTGTTGAGGGTTGACAATTTTCTTATTGAGCCACCCTATGGTTTATTATTAGATTAAACATAAATATTGAATTTTCTCACAATCTTAACTGACGAACGCCTTACGATAGATTAAACGTATAAATCGCATTTTTCATAATCGTTACTGACGAACACCTTCCGGGTCGTTTTTTTCATTATCGTAACCGACGAAAGCCTTACATGTATTGAACTTCTAAATCGCTTTTTTTTTTCTTTTTTCATAATTGCAACTGACTGACACCTTACACATGCGTATATCGTAAAATTTCGGTCCAAATTTATGTTTCTTTAAAATACTCAAGAATTTTCAATAGACAATGTCTCACATACCTCTCAAAACAATCGAGTTGAGCATCAAATATTCATATTTGGAAAGATTCACATCATAAATTTAGAGCAGAACAAAATCAAATATCATCATCTATCAAGTAAAATTAGCAGATAGTATAAAATAAGTTATGATTTATAATAACTGAACATTTTAAATATGATGAAAATTTGTATTTGTAGTAACTGAAATAAAAAAATAAATAAAGTAAACAAATTAAAAAGAATTAATTGAGTATAATGAATTAAAAATATTATTAAATGGACAGAAAATAGACAGAAGCAAACCGCATCTTAATGCGGTTCCGAAAATAATAAAAATGAAAGAATTAATTTATTGGTCCCGGCGGGGCTCGAACCCGCGACCTTCGGCTCATAAGACCAACGCTCTAACCGACTGAGCTACGGGACCAACATGTTAAATTTTTGCAACGTTTTTCTGTATGTGTGATACTGGAAATGCATTAATTTTTTGAAGTCTGCCAAGCTACAAAATGTCAAAAACTACAATAGTCTATTCTCTTGTAATTGCCATGACATTTACTCATCTATTCTCTTGCAACTAAAATAAATTGGATCATTAAGTCGGTAAAACTTTTATTGTATTAATTGTCTAGGAATACAATAATCACACTCGGAAAAGTCCGACGTCATTTTCTTCGATTTTTTCCGAGTCTTCTTCTTATGGAAAACTGGGACAGACGACGTAACAAGCCCAAAACTTTGATGACCAGTGGGAGGACTTTAATCCCTACAAAAACGCTAAGATCCAAAAGGCAAAGGGAAAAAAGTCCCCAAGGTTTGAGGACAATTGGTTGCTTGTGGAGGAGTAAAGCCGTGTGGAAGCCAGAGGTCAGATGTTCGATCCTGACTATTGTGAGGAGTGGGGATGTAGCACTCTACTACTCCTGGGAGGATTAGTCTCATGCCCCTCTGTTTGGGGATGGAGCACTCTACTACTCCTGGGAGGATTAGTCTCATGCCCCTCTGTGTAAATCGACCTAAGGGAATCCCTGGTGAAGTCTTTGAGTGAGTATGGGGATACCTTTCAGCCAAGAAAAAAAAAAGGGACTGGATATAGTGAACTCGGTCGCTACCTCACGGTGAATTTGATACTTATGATTGCTCGTGAATCAGTTCTGCCACAAAATTTCGACGTCTAGGATTGGTGGTAAAAAACGACTCATATTTATCAAATTTCATGTTTGATGTCCAAACAGATTTTTATTGTCCCGACCTCAACAGTGGCGGTTGAACAAGCTTTCAACGAGTGATGATATACTCTATACACACGACGGGTGAGGTTGACGCTAGAAAACCTAAAGGCTCAAATGATGTTGAGTGACTGTAAAAAGGCCAAAATGAGGGCACAAAAGGTTATGCTAACTTGTCGAAGACGATGGGATGACGAGACATCCGATTTTACAACTAGTACTAGTGGAACCCGAAATGAAGATGACTACGACACCGACGACTACGATTACTAGACAATCGGTTCAATCATGCCATCTACTTTTATCAAGGTATATATAGTAAGAGAACTACAAGGACTTTAATTCTCGAGGTAAGAGATACGTATGCAACTTAATTGATGTACTACAAGTTAAAATATCATTTTGTAACCCAAAAAATTTAATCAACTTAAATGATATTTTAACTTATAATATATCTACTAAGTCCAAGTCCAATATCTTCAACACACACCCCTCCCCCTCACCATCCTTTTTTTTTTAAATAAAAATCGGCCCAGGCCAAAATCAAAATCGGTTGAACCGGCCTGGAGTCGACCCTTGCCAAAACCCGGGCCGGTTCCTCCAAACTGCGATTCGGAACCGATGGTTCCAACCCAAAATTGGCCCAAAAGCAGGGTTTGGCCATGTCTATCATATAGTTCGAATTTCAGAACATTGATGAGAATTAAAATAGGCGCGGAAGCCTTGAAAAGAGTAAGCGCCTTCTGACAATTTTTTGTACATTTTGGTTCTCCCTCCCAACCCACCAAACCCCAATCAAATGGTTTCAAACTGCACCAAAAATTCTTAAATTCCAAAATTCCCAACTCAAATCCAAAAACCATCCCCCGCAAATGGTGAAAAAAATCATTTCCCACCTCCATTTTCCCCTCACTACATATACCTCGCCTCCATTTCCTCTCTCATAACCTCTCTCTTTCTCTCTCTCTCTCTCTCTATCCATATCAATGGCGGTCTTCTCTCTCCTCGCCAAGGAGAACATCCCGATTAATTTGCCATTGCTACAACCTACGGCACCTAATCCTGCGGTTACATCCAGTAAGAAGAGAAAGTCGAGGACGCCGCTGGAGGATATCACGAATTCGATCCACCCAGAATTCGGGCCTTCATCGGAGGACAGCCAATCGGGACCCGACACGTCTTCACTTTTGCTGCTGGCCCGATTGGCCCATCAGGTGGGCAATCGACGGAAAAAGGCCCGCAATTCGAATTATCTGAGGAATTCGCGTCCAGTTTCTGAGACTTTGATGAAGCATTTTAGATAGGGCTCTGTCTTGTTTGATTATGGATCAAGATGTTTAATGCATTGTTGAATGAGATTTCTATGCACAAATTTTGGCTTAGTAACAAGGATAGTGGAATGACTCGTTTTGGGGCTAATCTTTTATGAGAGCTCAATCTCAAATTGGTTGTTGAAATAGGAAGGTGTTTGGACGGTGAGTTGTCTCAAAGTAGTTAATATAGAGTACAAGTAAGTGGTGATAAGTGTGATATAGGACCCATAATATTTGATGAGCTGAATTAAGTGGTTAGCTCGGGTACGATTGGTTCAAAGGAGTTTCAAATCGGTGTCGGTGTTGAACTCGTTGTAGAGCTCGTTTAGGTAGATCATGGTGGACCAACTTTGTCAGAGCATCTTCAATGGTACATGTATTTCTTTCTTCCATTGCCACCGAGCCTCCAAAATCCAATGTGACACTTAATAATTCTAAAAGTCTTTCTAGATCTAGAAAGATTTCTAAACATCTTCTATTTTATATTATATTATTTATTTTATATTTATATTTCTACCAACCAATTATTATATTACACGTATCAAATTATCTCACAATTGAAATTAACCATTAGAGACAAAATAATTTTATTTCTTTTCTCCACACCATACATCTTAATAGACATTGAACAATTGGAGATGCTCTTCGAAACTTAGAGCATTCTTGAATACAAAATTTAAATATCACTAATAAGTCAACTTTTTAAAATTAATCTTGTTAAAGAAAAATACTAAAATAATAAATTAGTAAACAACGCTTTCAATTATTTATTTCATATTTTTATATCAAATTAATTTTAATTAATTTATTTTAATATAAACTTATATTTCACTAATAATTACACATATCCACATTTTAAAATTATAACTCTTATTTAAGAAAAAAAAAAAACTAATAAATTAATAAACAAGAGTTAGACGATACACATAATTTTAATTTTTTTTATTTTTTTTTATTTATATCAAGCATAAATTAATAGAGGAAAATCAAATTCTGAGTTATGATGCCCTGAACTCGAATAAATCAACAATCGAAACAATCAATTTCCCATTTCACAGATGGGAACACAATGAGACATGGTGAATTAAGCAGTCTCCGATCTCTTGCGAGGCCCCTCACCAATCATCTCCCTCCAAGAGAGCTCAACCGCCGCCGGCCAACAGAATATTCTCCGGCGTCGGCCCTGCAAAATTACATAAACTCCGATAACCCGTCTCCCGGCCAGAAGATTCATGCCCACATCCTCAAAACCGGCTTCACTCCCGACCTCAACATCTCCATCAAGCTCCTGATTCTATACCTCAAATCCTCCAACCTGCTCTACGCCCGACAGGTGTTCGACCAATTGCCCAGAAGAACTCTTTCGGCCTACAACTACATGATTTCGGGCTACACGAAACACGGGCCGGTCGAAAAATCACTAGAACTCGTCAGGCATCTATACCTCTCGAACGAAAAGCCGGACGGGTTCACATTCTCCATGATCTTGAAGGGCTCGACAGCCGCAGGCCCGGGTCATCATCGGATAGGGACCGAAGTTCACACCCAGATAATAAAATCCGGCGTATTGGGTGATGAAGTGCTCTACACTGCGCTGGTCTATTCTTATGTCAAGAGCGAGAGAATCGAGTACGCACGGAAGGTGTTCGATTTAATGGTAGAACAAAATGTAATATGCTCGACTGCGATGATCACGGGCTACATGAACAAGGCCCGTGTGAGGGATGCCGAGGATGTGTTCGACAAAACTTTTGAGAAAGACGTGGTGGTTTACAATGCCATGATCGAAGGATACAGTAAATCGGTCCAAACCGCTAAAAATGCAGTCGAGACTTACATCGATATGCAACGCGTGGGTTTTAAGCCAACAATATCGACGTTTGCTAGCATTATCGGGGCATGCTCTCTTTTGTCAGCATTTGAAGTCGGCCAACAAGTCCAAGGGCAAATAATGAAAACCGATTTCTTCACGAACGTGAAAATCGGGAGCGCGCTCGTGGACATGTATTCGAAATGCGCCCATACGGACTACGCGCGACGAGTTTTCGACCGAATGTCGAGTAGAAACATTTTTTCATGGACTTCCATGATAGACGGGTACGGGAAAAACGGGAGCCCGGACGAGGCATTACAACTCTTCGACGAAATGGTGAATAAATACAAAATCACGCCGAATTATGTCACGTTTCTCGGTGCACTATCCGCATGTGCCCATGCGGGTTTAGTTGCAAAAGGGTATGAGATTTTCGGGAGCATGGAAAGGTTTTACGGGATGAAGCCGAGGATGGAGCACTATGCGTGCATGGTGGATTTATTGGGTCGGGCCGGGAGTTTGGACCGGGCGCTTGAGTTTGTGGTGGGGATGCCCGAGGAGCCCAATTCGGACGTTTGGGCTGCATTGTTGAGTTCTTGCAGGCTGCATGGTGACGTGGAGCTTGCTAGGATAGCTGCGGCCGAGCTTTTTAAGGTGAGCGGGGAGAGTAGGCCCGGTGCTTATGTGGCGTTGTCGAATGCGTTGGCGGATGCCGGGCGGTGGGAGAATGTGAGCCAACTGAGGGAGGTGATGAAGGCAAGAGGGATTTCAAAGGGCACAGGGTTTACTTGGATTGGGACTGATGATGGTTTACTGGCTTTTCATGCTGGGTAGTCATGGTGATTTAAAATGGAATTTTTTTTTTTTTTTTTTTTTAATGAAAATGCTCTTGAGATCAACTGATTATTATTGAAAAAAATTTAAAATTATCACTATTATAAAATTTAAGTTCTTGGTTTACTTGTTTATAGATATATTGGTATTTGATTATTATTTTTTTTTATAAACCAAGATTAATTCTGAAAAAGTTGGAATAATTAGTTTTTAGTGGATTTTAGGTTTATATTAAAATAATGTTTAAAATTAAATAAATAAATTGATTTGATGTAAAAGTATGAGATAAATGACAAATAGTTAAAATTATGCGAATAAATAAATAATGAATTAAAATTGATGTAATGTGTATTTGATATTATTTAATTATATTAATAATACTGAGGATACGGGGACATGAGTTAGAATTTGAATTGAAATTGATTTTTTTTTTTAAACAAATAAGCACTAAACTTTCAACTATTTCTTTTGAGTTGTCACCCTATCAGTCTAGATTGGTGGCCACCTCATTATTGAACAAATATTTGTTAGATCCTAAACCGGGAATAAAGGTACATACCATGGCTAAAGATCGCCTCTGGTTTTCTCCATTCCCGCTTGTCACATAGTATTGCCATTGATTAGCGACATCATTCGTGTGATGCGGCTAACCAGTAGGCGAGTTGCCCCGTCATATTATTCGATTAAAAAATGCAGTTGCCCCGTCATATTATTCGATTAAAAAATGCAAATTTTATTATTGATAATCACATTTCGTTGTTAGTGTCATTTTTTTTATCATAAAGATTAGTGACAATTAAGATGTAGACCTGGATTTGGTGTAACTTGCAATTTACCATCTCTTAAACCCAAGGTTGTTTCTGCAAATATTTTCACCCAAGAAATTACATTATGGAAGTTTGAGAATTTTTACTTTTCATGTGGGAATATTTAAGGATATATTGTAAGAGAATATGAAATAGTTCACAATCACATGAATTTAAAAGTACCCATTATTACAATTGCACTCCAGTTCATGATATTAGACTCAAATAGTAAGAGGGTGCGAAGGCACAAAATTGTACAAAATGATCTAAAAATCTAGTATTAATGTAAAATTAACTACACTTTGTGTGATAAATTGAATCCAGACATATATATATATATATGTAAGTTCGGAGAGATTCTACGGTCTCGTTACGGAACTATTCCGTCAAATTTGTAACCGTTAGATCAATTATTCACGACGGTTATATGATGATCTAACGGTTACACCCCAACAGAATAGTTCTGTAATGAGACATATCATTTTCCGTAAGTTCATTTCACACCGTTTGACATTGTTTACTCGAAAAGGTCAATTAGAGGACAAATGGACATTTATTTTATTTTTTTCCCTTTAGAATCAAATACCGCATAAGGAAACTATTTTTTTTGTAGCCAGTCACGGTATTCAGAGCTATACCCCGACTAATTTGTTGGTCGGTCGCACACCTGGCAGAGGAGGGTGGGTCTCTCAACAAGGATTTTCTGCATCCACAAAGACTCGAACCCGAGACCTTACTTAAGTGACATCAAACTGCTTACCACTACATCCACAAAGACTCGAATTCGAGACCTTACTTAAGCGACATCAAACTGCTTACCACTTGAGGTATGGTCATAAGAAAACCATCTTGACTTCGATTGGATCTCCCTTTCAACACTGCCCATGGTCTTTTAAAGTTACTCATTCTTATCTACTGCAAAAGCTAAAAACTTAAAATAAAATAAGGGGAATAAATCGTTCGCTATAAATAGACACTTCACCACCGCTACACTTGTATTCTATCCAGATACAAAATTACTTTACTTGCCACTGATAAAAAAAAATTCAAAATACATACACTGTACGTATATTGTTCTTTTCATTCATCATTTTCAACAAACATACGGTATGGAAGCAACTACCGATACTCACAGCGACGCCGCCGCCGCTAAGCCGGCTCCGGTCCCCGTCGTCTCCTCGAGCGGGACGCTAGGCCGCCACCTGGCCCGTCGCCTGGTTCAGATCGGCGTGCGCGACGTCTTCTCCGTGCCCGGGGACTTCAACCTCACCCTGCTCGACCACCTCGTCGCCGAGCCGGACCTCAACCTGATCGGCTGCTGCAACGAGCTCAACGCCGGGTATGCCGCAGACGGCTACGCCCGCGCCACCGGCGTCGGGGCCTGCGTGGTCACTTTTACCGTCGGCGGCCTCAGCGTGCTGAACGCCATCGCCGGTGCCTACAGCGAGAACTTGCCCGTGATCTGCATCGCCGGCGGACCCAATTCCAACGACTACGGCACCAATCGGATCCTCCACCACACGATCGGGCTACCCGATTTTACCCAGGAGCTCCGGTGCTTCCAGACGATCACCTGCGCTCAGGTTATTTCTTACTTTCTGTTTGTCGAATTCAGTAATGGATTTAGTTAGGGTTTCTGAAGCTAATAATTGGGAATTTTTCGATTTTTTTTTCTCCAGGCCGTTGTGAATCACTTGGATGATGCCCATGAGTTGATTGACACGGCGATTTCAACGGCTCTGAAGGAAAGCAAGCCGGTTTATATTAGCATTAGCTGCAATTTACCCGCAATCCCTCATTCAACTTTTTCAAGGGAGCCCGTGCCATTTTTTCTCGCACCAAAGTAAGTCCCCCATTTATTCAGCGTCATTACAACAGTAAATTCTGTGCAGATTCTTTAACAATTCATGAACCCCGAGCAGGGTCAGCAACCAGCTCGGGCTGGAAGCCGCAGTCGAGGCGGCGGCCGACTTCCTGAACAAGGCCGTTAAGCCCGTCATCATTGGCGGGCCCAAGATGCGCGTCTCCAAGGCCCAACGGGCCTTCCTCGAGCTGGCGGACGCTTGCGGATACCCAATAGCAGTGATGCCATCAGGAAAGGGCCTCGTTCCTGAGCAGCACCCGCACTTCATCGGGACCTATTGGGGGGCCGTGAGCACGAGTTTCTGTGGGGAGATAGTTGAGTCGGCTGATGCATACGTTTTTGTGGGCCCCATATTCAACGACTACAGCTCGGTCGGGTACTCGCTGCTGATCAAGAAGGAGAAGTCGATTGTCGTGCAGCCTAACCGCGTGACGGTAGGCCACGGGCCATCGTTCGGGTGGGTCTTCATGACTGACTTTCTCACGGCCCTGGCGAAGAAGCTGAAGAGGAACAGCACGGCTGTTGATAACTACCGTAGGATTTATGTCCCGCCGGGCGTGGCCCTGAGGCGTGTAGAGAAGGAGCCACTCAGGGTCAACATTCTTTTCAAGCACATTCAGGTTACTTAGCTTGTTTATTTTTAACTAATATTAGCTTTTCCAAGCACACACATTTTTTTTTTTTTTTAATACTTACTGAGTTGAATTACAGGAAATGCTGAGTGGCAACACTGCAGTAATTGCAGAGACAGGGGATTCATGGTTCAATTGTCAAAAGCTTCGTTTGCCTGAGAATTGCGGGTTGGTCCTCATTGAGAAAAAAATAATCTCAGATAACTAGAAATTTTGATTTCGTGTCATGTGAAATAAAATACTGATACATTTCCGTGCAGGTATGAGTTCCAAATGCAATACGGATCCATTGGGTGGTCAGTCGGTGCAACTCTCGGTTATGCACAGGCCGCGAAAGACAAACGCGTCATCGCGTGTATCGGTGATGGGAGTTTCCAGGCAAGCAATCACATTAATTACCATGGTAAAAGAAAAACAAAAAAGTCTGGGTGCATATTTCATGTAATTATCATGCGCAGGTTACGGCTCAGGACATATCCACCATGATACGGTGCGGGCAGAGGAGCATAATATTCCTCATCAACAATGGAGGGTACACGATTGAGGTCGAGATTCACGACGGCCCTTACAACGTGATCAAGAACTGGGACTACACAGCTCTTGTGCACGCCATTCACAACGGGCAGGGCAATTGCTGGGTTGCCAAGGTTTTACACTCATGGCGCTAATCTAAATTAGTCCGTTTTCAAGGGAAAAGAAATTAAAATAAAATTGACATGTTATTATTGCATTTGTTACTGAACATCAGGTGAAAACAGAGGATGAGCTGCTGGAGGCCATAGAAAAGGCGACGGGCGAGCACAAGGACTCGTTGTGTTTCATTGAGGTCTTTGTTCACAAGGATGATACGAGTAAAGAGTTGCTCGAATGGGGCTCGCGTGTTGCTGCGGCTAACGGTCGATTTCCTAACCCGCAGTAGATAGGAGGGTTATTTGCAGGAGTCGGGAGTCCAATGAAATGTTGAGTTGCTATTGTTGTTGTTGTTGTTGTTGNNNTTTTTTTTTTTTTTGGTGTTTGTTTCATTAGATTATATATGTAACACGTAAGCCAAATAAACTACTACTACAGTTAAGTAGAGCTTTGGAGTCGAGTAGATTGGTGGCATTAGTACTTGTGATATTTTGAATATTTTCTGAGGTTAGGTCAAATTGAAACAGTAATTGAGATCTTTTTTTAATCAAATTGCTTCTCCTCATGATAAAGACTAGGAAAACTTTCATGATGCAGAAAATAAACAACTACTTGTAATGATGGCAATCCTATTCCTTATAATCTGATGAAATTTCAATAGAAAATTTTAACAAAAATATATTTCAATGAAATTGCAACGGCAATTTCAAAAAAAAATATATAAATGCTATTATTTTCGTCAGAATTTTTCGGTTGATTCCAACGGAAATTTCAAAAATAATATTTTGTTGGATTGAGTTTTTCATTGAAATTTTTGTTGGATTTTGATGATTCTGGTGCATTTTTCAACGGTTGAAATATGGGTGAAAATAAAAATTCCAACGGAAATTGTTTATTGCAACGGAATCATACGGTAAAAAAAAACCGTTGGAACGATCAACTTCCATCTAAATTCCAACGGAAAACTCATTACAAAGAATAATTCCATTGAAATTTTCGATGAAATCATTCTAACGGAAGCTATACATTAGAATATCCGTTTGAATTTCCATTGAAATATATATTACCATAGTATTTTCTATTGGAATTTGATATTTTTTTGTAGTGATTGAATATTTGCTTAGTGATGTAAATTTATGAAAGCAGAAAATATCTGTGTAATAGTTATCTTATTTAAATCAAATGAATAAAATTAGTCATTTTTATAACTGTAAATTTAATTCAGTCAAACACAATTTAAATTAAATATGAAAATTTCAACTATCCCCTTAATTATTGAATTTGACAAAATAAACTTCCAACTTGTATTTTTTGTATGACAATGCATATCACATCTTTCACTCAATCAATCATTCTTACACATTACTTCCCTTCCCTCCCTCCCTCACTATAGTGCCAAATTATTTCCCTTCCCTCCCTCCCTCCCTTTATAACTT